AGAGCCACTGGCCTGAAGTCACCCAGTTAGTTTTCATATATTAGATATTTTTAACATTATACAGATAGTCCTCGACTTATGACCACAATTGAGATGTTTGTTAAGTGAGGCTTGCCCCGTTCTATGACCTTTCTTGCCACAGCTGTTAAGTGAATCACTGCACTTGTTAAATTAGTAACATGGTTGTTTTAAGTGAATCTGGCTTCCCCATTCAGAAGGCCACAAAAGGGAACCACATGACTCTGAGATATGGCAACCGTCCTAAATATGGGTCACTTGCCAAGCATCTATCTGAATTTTTTATCACATAACCATGGGGATACCGTAATGGTTTTAAGTGTGAAAAAATGGGCATAAGCCACTTTTTAAGTGTCGATGTAACTTTAAATGGACACTAAACAAGCTGTTGTAAGTCAAGGACTACCTCTACAGCAATATTTCTCAACCTCAGCAACTTTAAGAAGGGTGGATTTCAATTCCCGGAATTCCCTAGTCAGCACAGGGAATTCTGGGAGTTGTTGAAGTTGAGAAACACTGGCACATGGCATTAATCTATTAGTTATTTTAACAATCTCCTGCTGTTTTACAAATCTGATTTACATCCTTCAGGAACACAAGTGTCTCTTCCTCCTATTTTTTTCTTGTAACAACCATTCTGTAAGGTAGGCTGAGCACAAATGAAAGTGACTAGGCCACAATCATCCAGAGAGCATTGTGACTGGGGGAGAGGGGATAAATTATAACCTGGATCTTTTCCCCTTCCCAAAGCAGTCCAACATTTTCAACACCTATACCCATATGCTATGTATAGAAGACAATGTAAAAATCTATGAAATAATGTAAACATCCATGAAATTGATTGTTATTATTAATAAGACACCATTGGAATAGTTGCCTAGAGTGCTGAAATTTAGGTTAATTCTTTCTCAGCCTATCTCACTTTACACAAACATTTTCCTCTGATCTTATCGAAGGCACAGTGGGATATCACTCTTTGGTTTCACCTGTAAGGTTGGCTCAAACGGAAAGCTTCCTTTCTATTTATTTACATTAAAAGTATGTTTTTCTCCCTACATTTCTCCTTTGAAGTACATACACATTACTGAAATGGTTTATGGGGTATGAAAGAATATAAAATTGAAAACCTTTTTAAAAGGATGTTGAAAACCATTCCCAAAAACAAAGTCTAATGAAATCTATAAAGCAAACAGGGGAAAAAAAACTATTTTCTTTACCTTTGGGTTTACCTTTGCTTCTTCCTCAACCTCATTTACTTCACAGAGCCACTGTATGGGAAAATGTGAAAGTAAATCACACGAGGCACTCCTCAGAGATGTCTGGAAAGAGAAGATAAAACGGGGCTTCTGTAAATGCAGATTAAGCATTTCTTCACTTTTCATAAAGTTAACTATATTGGGCTTACTCTACAAGTTAATGGATTTATTGATATGTCACAATCAATTTGGTGTTCTAAAGATCCCCCCTTTTTCCATACATAAAACTCCCTTTATGACTAATTCCTCAGTTAAGTGTAGAGTGGGGCAACTGGATAAAACTGAGCGTTTACTGGCTAGAATGCCCTTCCTGAAGCTACACAGAGTATTAATTTTATTAAAAGTTTTAGAAGAGAAAAATTAACACCAAGACAGAATAAAGAAAACAGAAAAAAGCAAAAGGTCAGGGGGAAAAAAGAGACAAAAAGAATTAGTAAGAGGAAGCTTCTGATTTCCTTTGCAACAAATACAATTAGGAAATTCTTTGTGGTGTATTTCTTGACTGCTTGTGAAGGAAAGAATAATTTAAAATGAAGTGGGGCACAATGTAACATATTTATCAGATTATGTACAAGGTAGGAAACTAGGCTGAGAGGCCATTTTGTCTATCTGTCATACTAGAATTCCTGGTCTTATTTCCAAAGAAATCCCTCAAAAGCATTCCCTAATATCACACTCCGAAAGCAGGTTGCAGTTCTCAATCTCAATAACATTCTCATCATTATAGTTGCTGCCCTCCAACACGTCCCAAGGATACAAATAATGCTGTAATGTGCTTACTCCAAAGTAACCCATTAAATTTAGTAATTTACTTCCAAAAAAGCAAATAAGATTATTAAAATGGTGGAGTTTGTCACAGCTGCATCCAAGTTGCAAAAACTGAGTCAAAAGTTGAAGTTTAGGATTTCTGAGCTCACCCAGACCGCGTTCCCCTTATTTATGCAAATAAAAATATGAATTAATACTGCAGGTATAAGTGACATAATATAAAAGGAATCAAGAAAGTGGGTGGTGGAGAAGGCAGAGAAATTATAAATAACAGCTGCAATAATTTGGACCCAATTGCTCAAGAAAAATTCTTCCTGGTCCCTTTGTGAAACAAACTTAATTCAAAGGTTTATAAGCATGATAAGATTTTTTTTTTAAAGTGATGGATTGTAGAGAGATTCCACAAATCCTACTGAAATTGCACAGCACTGTATTCAAACTGTACATTTCTTCCAATAATCACACATAAGATCCAGAGCTTTGGGATGGCAGTGCTTGTACAGATGAGACCCTACCTATTGATTCAAGTTTATGAATTTTCCATTTAAAAATGAAGAAAAAGTCTCTGTAGCATTTGTTGTTTTCTTGCATACTTTCATAATTTTATAAGCTACCACCATATTTATTATTAGCCTCTTGGGTTTTCTTCTGTGATACAAACATTATGGAATGCAAAGCAGTAGGATCCCAAACAATAAAGTTGCCATTTTATTCGTTTTCACTTGGGAGAAAGAATGATTGAACTCAACAGAGCTTACATCCGAGAAAAAAAAAATATACAACTTAATTTTAAGGCTGTGACCTTATTAAAGTTGCCTGGACAGTATAAAGCTCCAGAGAAGTCTGTAACGCTTACTTGTGAATAAACAATTTAGAATTATGCTAAATTCCAACTTTAGAATTACCTTGTAAATAGGTAAGGTTACACACCGGTGAATTGCATTGCAAAAAAACACAGATCTGCATAAGATTGCAGCTGAAATATCCCATTCCAAAACACAGTTAGATACTAGCAAGGGTTCTTTCTAACACTTTCTAGTTCCATTGACCTAAATAGGTTTTAATTTTGAATATATTTTGGATGGGGTCATAAGTAAAAGGGAACAGAGATGAGCACAGCCCTCAAAGGTTAGCAACTACTAGTCGCAGGGACTCTTTTACCTATAAGTAAATTAACAGTAGTATAAAGAAGAGAGAAAATAAAGCTTCTTAAAGGGAGGTAGAACTGAGTAAGATGCAATTAACTGTTTGGGTACCTTAATTGCATAATCTCAGGATTTGAGACATCTATAATCAAGATTTATAAATTATCTCATATATTTATGAGAATTTATAAATATATATATATATATATATATATATATATATATATATATTTTCATAAATTTTCGTGGGTACTTACATGTATGGTATTCAGCTTTGTTAGGGTATTTTCCCACGTCATGGTTGTGCTTTTACAGTTGTAGTTGTGCTTTTAAAGTTGTATAAAATTATTATTTTATACATACATACATACATACATACATACATGTATGCATAAAATAATAATTAGGGAACCCCAGTCTCTGCAACTAATATGGCCTAGGCAAATCAGATCTAAATATCCACAGCTGTGACATTTTGGACCAATTACCAATTCTTAACCAGCCTCCCTGAAATAGTTGAGAGGTTAGAATACACTCTACTACATTAACTTGACCTCAATGGGAAATTGCAGGCATAAATATAAGCAAATTGTTGGGGGAGGGGAGATGTTTTTATTCGTTGTTGTGAGCTGCCTAGATATGATACACATGGCCACAGATTGGAAGTCCTGTAAATAAATAAAAGGAAACTCCTTCCAAATAAATCAGCCCTTGTTACTGCTTTCAAAGCTATAAGTTGCCCTCCCCTACCTTCTTCTCACTCTTTAAGGTTCTTTCTCTTTTGGACTGCAGCGTAAAAGGCAGTTATCCAACAGATGCAGCCCCTTCCCCTCTGGAAAAGCTCCAAGCCCAATTGGAAAGGCCTCATTTATGCATCTATATACCCTTAGTGCATAGAAAGAAAGCACCCCTTCTTCTCTCAGGGATCCCAAGAGCCGGATCATCCCCCAACTTCTTCTCCCTGGATTGAGGCCCTCAGTGGCCCCTTTGCCCCCCCCCCCACCCTTCCTCCCTTGGCTTTGAAGCCATCCTTGGGACTGCCCCATCCTCTCCAGCCTAGATTTCCCTCAGGGCAGCCCAAGATCTCCTGTGCAAGGATGGGAGTGTGGGGGGAGGTGTCTCCCTGGATCCCACCCTTGACTGGGCTTTGAAGAGGCCCACCTGGGAGGCATCAGCAGGCTGGGCCGGACCCCTGAGCTGGGAAGGCCCAGGGCCTTTCTTGGCCAATACCTGGAGGAGAGGTGGGGCCAGGGCCACTTTAAGCAGGAGGGCGGGTCCCTTCCAGGAGGGTTTCGACCCTCCCAGCTGTCCTGGCCAAGCAATCTCCGCTCTGCGGGGCGGTGGGGCTCCCTGCTCGGCCTTTGGGGGAGTTCGTTGGACGTTGCCCCGGCTCTTGCTCGCCTCTTGGGCTAAAGACAGAGAGGCTCAGCCCTCTCCCCCTTGGACTTGACTCCTCCTGCAAGGATCGGGGTCCCGTCTTGGGACGGCGCCCTGAGACTTTCTCTCGAGAGCTTTTCTGAGTTGCAGGGACGGGACAGCGGCGGCCGCTGCATCCTCCGTCGCCCCTTTGCTCCCCGCAAACATTGGGTCGGAGCGGGGGTCTCCCCATTGCTACCCTCGAAGAAGCAAAGCTGACCAACTGAGCCGTCCAGGGAAGGAGAGCTTGGATGATTTTAACAACCTCCCATCTCTTCCTTCCTTGCTCAACCCAACCCGTCCGAGGGATATTTTCGGCCTCCCCCAATTTCTTCCCGGGGGCATCTCGGCTTAACTTTCCGAGCAAAGCAGGGTCTCCTTTCTAGCCCGGTCACCCATGGCGGGGCCCTTGCGACGAGAGCTAGGCCGCTCCTCCTACCCTTTCCCGGTGCAAAGCCTGCACCTCGGCAACCTCCCGGCTGTCCCCCAGCACGAAACCACCTCGCCCGGCTTCTTGCCCGAAGCCTTCAGCGCCGGGGCCACTGCCGGGCAGGCCTTTGGCTTCAAGCCCGATTACGGCCCCCACCAGGGCGGGGTCGGGGAGCCCTATCCCGGCGGGGGCGAAATGCCTCGCACCTGGTACCCCTGGCCTGCCGCGGGGGAGGCCTGGAGCCACCCTCCCGGGATCCTGGTAAACCCTTATGCCCTCGCTCAGTCCGGAGAAGTCTGCCAGGCTTCCAAGGCCGAGATCAAAGTCGAGCGTGACTTCGAGCAAGCGGGCCCCTATTACGGAGGGCATCCCTGGACCGGTGGGTGTCTGGTCCCTTCGGTCCCTCCGGCCCAGGCCCGTCCGGCTTCTTGCAACAACCACACCAAGGAAGCCGCTTCGCCCAATCCGGATTCCGAGCCTTCCAGCAGCCCCACCAGCCAGCCCGAACAGGTGGGCAGCGCGGAGGAGAACAGTCCCCGGACCGATGCTAGTCCAACCCCCAGCGAGCAGATGGCCTCGGAGGAAGCGAAAGACGAAGAGGGCAGTGGAGAAGAGGTAGGACTGGCGTTTTGCAACGCGGTTCTCAAAGTGGAGTTATAGTATAAGATTAAGAAATTAGCAACTTTTAAAAATGGACAAGGACACAGTTGAAGATCATAGTATAATAGGACTACATTGATATACTTATCTTCTACTCTTTCCTACTGCTTCTATTGGTATCTATGATATCATGTTGTTGTATCTTATGATTAATGACTCTTAACCACTATCTATCTATCTATCTATCTATCTATCTATCTATCTATCTATCTATCTATCTATCTATCCATCTATCCATCCATCCATCCATCCATCCATCCATCCATCCATCCATATATATATATATATATACATACATGCATGTATGTTTTCTTAAGTTTTCACAGGTACTTACATGTATGGTATTCAGCTTCGTTCGGGTATTTTCCCACGTCATTGTAGTTGTGCTTTTAAAGTTGTAGCAACATTTTCGGCAGAAGCCTGATGATGGCAGATGAGATTGCTACAATTTTAAAAGCACAATTACAATGACTTGGGAAAATACCCGAACGAAGCTGAATACCATACATACATACATACATATATAATCCATCACTTTGTTGCTTGTATGGATAGTGAGAGCTTATGCACTGGAGACAAATTCCTTGTGTGTCCAATCACACACCGCCAATAAAGAATAATTGTGTCTTTTTTTTTTGAGTTGCTCATTTTCCTTACAGGATGCTAAAGGTTGCTTTTAAAACTTGCTGGTTGGGATGGGGAGGCATTCCTAGATGTTCTTTTCTTCTTCTTTTTCATTGCATCTCATCCCATCCAGCTGTGGTGTTGCAATCCTGCGGAAGAGTCCCCCTTTTTCCCCCGCATTCACATAACAACCCTGGGTTTGATCTGTTTGGGTGTAGTGTCTGTTTTAGCAGAGCATTTTAGCGGAAGATTTTAGCGAAGGGTTTTAGCATTTGTATCTGCTTGAGGCTTTGGAGACTGTTAGGCAAATGTGGGGAGCAAATGAAGGATTGAGGAATTGTATGAAGTGCTTTGGGACTTTACATGTTTGGAGATTCTCAGTTATCCAGGTCACAGTTGTCCCAAAGGTGGTTTTTCCAACCGGACTTTTTTGTTTTTTGTTTTTTTTTTGAAAATATTTCGCTTTCTCATCCAAAAAACGACTTGGATGAAAAGCGAAAATGTTTTCAAAGGAAAAAAAACCAAGAAAGTCCAATTGCCTTTTGGAAAAAACACCTTTGACTCTGGGACTTCACATTTATTATGGAGTGGCTGGCTTATGGCTGTGCATTATTGTTTCTGGGTAGGACAAAATGTGATAAAACATGATCTCTGTTGGGACTCCTTGATAAGTATTATGGATACCATTTCCAAGCTGGTAAAAACTGTGTTAAAGTTGGAGTCCATTAAGTCTCTGGAAGATTTGCAATTAGGGTTTTAGATCCCAGCTCAGCAAAAATACTATGTCTTGCTACCATTTCATGATTGTAACCATAAAGAAAGCAATGTTTTTTTTCCCCAGGTGGTGCTTTTTTTGTCATGTTTGAATGAAAATCTCTTAAGTTTATATTGAAACATAAATAAGTGGTTGGGTTTGGAAGACTGAAACACAAATTAGCTAACTCTGTCTTAGTTTGTTATATATTGTGAACCAGGACTGTAGAATTAGTTGTAGCTCAATGACTGTCTTCTAACCCGGTTTCTTAATTAGCCAGTTTGGGTTTTGTCCAAAACACTGAATCTTAGTTGCCAGTGGTTCTATGTAACATGCTAAATCACAAATCTCTTCACTGAGTTGAATACTAACCAAGCTGACCATGGTATCTGTGTTTGGTGATAACGCTATGAGATGTTTTTAGGATGGGTCTTCTGTAAATCTGTATTTTGGGGTTTTTTCTTCAATCCCACACCCAGCTGTTCCATATATACATTAGAAACATATATAATGGGAAAGTGGATGTTGTGGAATTTGGAAAAAAATGAAATTGAAAAAAAAAATCCAGGTTCATAATTTATACACTGGAAATGGAAGCTCATGAAAGCTCAGGCTATAATGCACAATCACTTTAAGGTGTCACAAATTAGAAGCAGGCAGAAATTATGAGAGTTGTGGTTACTGAGATTCAAGTTGAAAAAAGGTAGTTTTAGTTTCCCCCTTTTAAAAAAACCATCAGCTGTTTCTTTACACCCTTGAACTTTTGGAGATAAAGCTCTAAATAGCCCTCTTTCTTTTAAAAGTAATTACATAGCAAAACTGTGTTGGATTACTCCATCAATTCAAGTATCCTGTGCCTTAGTTGTTGAGAAAGGATGTAAAGCCAACAGCTTCCCTTTTTTCCCCATTCAAGAACTAGTATTCAGATTCTACTGCTCTGGTGGATTAATGGTGATTAATTAGTGCCAGGATGTGTTTAATGTTACAAACAGCTTTGAGATTTTTTTTAATGAGAAGCAGCATATAAAAATGTTAATTAAGGTCCATAAAATCATTGCCCCTCCTAATCCCAACAGCTACTGTTAGAAGTCAACTAATAAAATCAATTACAGAGAATGTCAAGAAGCCAGGCTTGAGTGGCAGAGCTTATAAACTTCTGAAGAAGTAAGAGAAAATATTTTTCTTAATAAATTCCTGGAGAATTTAGAATTTAGTTATTTTCTTCTTCTGACCTCTATTGGGCTTTAAGTTTCACAATGGAAGTGAAGACTTAACTACCTTTAGAAATTGTGGAGAATATCCCGTAGGTCAGGTTGTAGATTTAGGTAGAGGTGAGTTTACTGCTTGACTCCCAGATGTTTCTTTACCAAACTAGGTAACCTCTTCAGCTGCGTTTTGGGTGAAGTGTCTTGTTATTTCATACAGGTACCATATAAAGGAGAATATTTGTAGCTCAGGGTTGACATGAGGGGTCCTTGGTGCTTTCTGAGCTTGATTATTTTCTTGGCAAATGTTTCATTACCCAAACTAGGTAGATGTTACCTAGTTTGGGTAATGAAACATCTACGAGAAAACAAGCACGCTCTGAGAGGATCAAGGACCCATCGTTTATATAGGTCCTGGGCAGCCAGTTGATCTTGTAACTGGTTGAATCACAAGACTGAGCAACCATCCAGGACCTATATAAATGAACAAGATACTTCACCCCAAATCCGACTGAAGATGTTACCCATTTTGATAAGGAACCATCCAGGAGCCAAGTGGCAAACTCTGAGGACAAACCTCTGCCTAAAACTCTTAGCTACCTTTTAAAACTAAACAGCTCCTTTAAGATTTCCTCTTAGGAAATATGCTCAGTTGACTTGGATTTCTTGATTAATTGCTTCTTCTTTTGTGTGTCCCAGCTGTTTTTTCCTCACCCAAGTTAGCTGGATTTATTCAATTGATCAGTGAATAAGCTATACATCAATCTCTAGTTGATTGGGTTAGCCTAACCTGGCATGTCAAAAAAACCATCATGTGAATATGAAAACTATGGTGCTCTGGGCCACTTTTTATAGGCTTTATAGTGGGTATAAAACCACACTGTAAAATGGGTTACAGTTCTTCTGATTTGCTTCTAAAATTCAGAGACTGCAGCATGGGGCGGGGTTTCCCCCTCCCCAAGCAGCCTGATAAAAGTTTTAGCTTAAGGGTCTTCAAACTTGGCAAGTTTAAGACTCATGGACTTTTAACTCCCAGAATTCCTGAGCTAACATGAGAAATTCTGGGAGTTGAAGTCCACAAGTCTTAAAGCTATCAAGTTTGAGGAGCCCTGTATTTATCTTTTATACTGTTCTCCTGCATATCAGCTGTGACAAAAACCCCTTTTTTGCTAACAGACAGGGAGATCCCATCAATGTCCCCAACCTGGTGCCCCACAGGCTGGTGGTGGAGGGAATTATGTGAGGTTTTGACAAGACTGTGATTTGTTCATAGTTTATGACATCTGTATTACAAAGCAAGGTATGAAATCCGTGCCAGTTTTGCAACAAGCTAGCCATGCAGTACAGGTAGTCCTCAACGTACAGCCACAACTGAGCCCACCAAAGTTTTATGTTGCAAAATTTACATTGAAATGTGGTGCGTGAGTTTTGCCCCATTTTACAACTTTTCTTGCCACAGTTGTTAAGTGAATCAATGTGGTGGTTAAATTAGTAACCTGGTTGTTAAGTGAATCTGTCTTCCCCGTTGACTTGGGCTTGTCAGAAGGTCACAGAAGGGGATCTCATGACCCGAGACACTCCAACCAACCGTCATAAATATGAGTCAGATGCCAAATATCTGTATTTCGATCACATGACCATGGGGATGTCACAATGGTTATAAGTATGAAACCTGGTCATGTGTCGCTTTTTTCACAGTGCAATTGAACGGTCACTAAATGGACTGTTGTAAGTCAAGGATTACCTGTTTAGCATTGTTGTCACATGGTGACATTGCTCTCAGTATCTCAATAATTATTACCAAGTTAGTTACCAAGACAAATTCCTTGTGTGTCTAATCACACTTGGCCAATAAAGAATTCATTCATTCATTCATTATTGTTGAATATATGTGTGTGTGTGTGTGTGTGTGTGTGTGTGTGTGTGTGTGTGTGTATGTGTATGTGTATGGTATTCAGCTTTGTTCGGGTATTTTCCCACGTCATTATAGTTGTGCTTTTAAAGTTGTAGCAACGTTTCGGCAGAATCTCATCTGCCACCATCAGGCTTCTGTATTGTGTTCATCTGTGTGTATGTATGTGTGTGTGTGTGTATACACACACACACACACAAGTGTTTTCTTAGACTTCTCCAATCCTCTCCTTAAAAAACATCCACAATGATGACCATCATCACCCAATGGCTGTGAATTTCATACCAGGCATAGCATAAAAATTATTCTGCTCATTGATCCTGAATCACCGAATATTTCATTTCAATGGGTGACACAGAATTCTAACACTGGGAGGAATAAAACCTTTCTGTTTTCTATGTCATTCATTGATTTCGTATTACCCCCTCACATCCTGGACATAAATGGTTTCCACTTCTAC